TTTAATAAATGGTGCTGGACAAATTGGGTTTCAACTTGCCAAAGATTAAAACTAGACCTATATCTCTCATCATGCACTAAACTAAAATTGAAATGGATCAAAGATCTGCATATTAAAACAGAAACACTAAACTGGCTGGAAGAGAGGTTAGGTAAAATTCTTCAAGACATTGTTGTAGGAAAAGATTTCATGAACAAAACCTCAGTCACATGTAAACTAGCACACATAATCAACAACTGAGATCTCTTCTGCACAGCAAGAGAAATTACCAAGAGAATGAAGAGCACAATGTGGGAAAAATTTTTTTACCAGTTATTCCTCAGACAAAGGTCGACTATCTAGAATATATAAAGAATTTAAAATCAGATGTCTCAAATTTAAAGACCCAATGCAAAATTGGGCATCTGAAATGAACAGACATTTCTCAGACAAAGAAGTAAAAGCAACAAACAAATACATGAAAAAATGTTCAACATCACGGAGAGATGTGAGTGAAAACAATGCTGAGATTCCACCTCACTCCAGAAAGAAAGGATACTATTATGAAGTCAACCAATCACAAATGCTGGTGGGGTTATGGGGATAAAGGAACCCTTCTCCACTGTTGATGGTAGTGTAGACTGGTGCAATCACTGTGGAAATCTAGGTTTAGAGGTCTCATTTGACCCAGCTATTTCCCTGATGGGTATCTTCCCGAAACAATTAAGAGAATCATACCACAGAGATATATGTGCACCTATGCTTACGTAAGTTGCACAGTTTGTAATAGCTAAAAGTTGGAAATAGCCCAATTACTCAACCACTGAAGACTAGGTAATGAAAACATTTTAAAAAAATAAAGTGGAGTACTACTTAGCCATAAAGAATGAGAAACTAGAGATATTTATAGCTAAATGGATGCATATTGAGGTGATACTCTTAAGTGAATTAAATAGGACAAACATGTGTAGATACTGAATAGTTTCTGTAGTGTGAGAAACTGAAAGTGTAAATAAGGATCAAAATGTATGATAGATAAGGTGAAATAGAAGGTAAAGGTCCAAGAGGAGAGGGGAATTGGAACAGGAAGGTGAAAGAAAACAAGGAAAAGGAATAAATATGAGATAAGGAAAAACAGAAGCAAAGTATTTATAAATGGGGAGGGGTGGAGGAAATGGGAGGCAGAGGAATGGGGGAAAAATGCAATCAAGATATATTATGTAAAGGTACAAATCCCCAGTGATGAATGTCATACTATTGTATGCCTAAAATGTACTAATATACTTAATGAATAAAAAATAGCAAGGGAATAAAAAAAAATCCAAGAGTTGTTGATACAAAGAATAATAATATAAGATTGATCAGAGTCAATGTAAAATCAGGAGATAGCATAGCACAAAATGACATGAAAAACATGTTTGCAGAAGTAATGGAAGAAAACTTCTCATGCAGGTTAAGAGAATTTGATAATACAGATGAGTAAGGCATATAGAACTCCAATTAATTGTGATCTACAATCAAGGCATATAATATTCAATATTCCAGACAAGACACAAGAACTGACTATTGAAAGCTGTTAGAGAAAAGAAGCAAATAACCTATAAAGGAAAGCTCATCAGAATCACAGCAGACTTCTCAACACAAGCCCTCAAGTCAAGAAAAGCTTAGAGCAAAGTATTTCAAGCCCTAAAAGAAAACAACCTCCAAGCCAGACTGATGTACCTTGTAAAACTATCTTTTCTAATTGATGGAGAAATAAGGTACTTCCATGATAAAAAACACTTGAAGAAAATTATGACCGCCAAACCAACACTCCAAAATATTCTGAAGAATATTCTAGAAAGAGATAAAAAAGACTACAACTTCATGAATCCTAACAGAATTAATTCACCAGGCAAAGCAAGCAATTAAAGAGGGGGATATAAGGGAAAAATGCCCCATATTGCAGCAAATCTGTGTAAAATGACATGAACAGAAAGCATAGAACAAATATGAAACAATAAATTGACTTTCATGTATACATTAATATACCCTTGGGTGTTCTGGAACTAGCTTGCACCAGCCAAGAAGAGAAACTTTACATTTGAAAGAACGATGCAAGCTTGGTGACATTGTAGAGTTACACTGAAATAAGTCATAGTGTTGGACTCAGCTATGATGAGTGTTTGAGTTGTTTCCAGTTTGGGACTACTATTTCATAAGGCTGCAGTAACCATTCATACGGAAATGTTTCTCTTTCTCTTGGGTAAAAGCTAGTTGCGGGCCATATTCTCAGTCTGTGGTTAACTTAATAAAAGCTGCTAGGCTGGTTTCCAAAATGACTGTGTTCTTTTGTATTTCCTCCACCAATGCATGAGAGTTATAATTGTTCATATATTTGTTCACACTTGGAAGTTTCAATATTTTTTTACTTTAATTTTTGCTACTCTAATGAGTATATACAAGATATCAGACTGTGATTTATATTTGAATTTCCCCTACTGATTAGTGACATTACACTTATATTCATGAGTTTATTTAATATTCTGTTTGAATGTTCAAGTCTTTGGAATTTTTAAATAGTTGAGTTGAAAGAGTGCATTGTATATCCTTTATGAAATACTATGCTTTGCAAATATATTTCCCAATCTGTGATTTTTTTAAAAAACATGGAATTTTTTAAGGAGTAAATGTTGAAATTTGGTAAAGCAATTTTATTTTTTCTAATGAATTTTGCTGTTTGTCTTTGAAGTTTTTATGCATCCCAGAGTCACTAAGATTTGCACATTTTTTTCTAAGTTTATGGAAGTATAGCTTTTATGTTTATGTGTATGATCCCTTCCCAGTTAGCACATGGTGCAAAGTAAAAACAAGGTTTGTGTTTATTATTTATGTGGAAATGCAACAGTTCCAGGGACATGGGAAGATGCCCTTCTCATGGGGTCATTTGGTCCCTATCCCAGAAGTTGATGGAACAGGGAAGCCCTTCTCTGACTCTGGGCTCTGTTCTACTTTCCCCCTAACACCAGCTATCCACTTTTCTCCTTAGCTGCATAACATGATTCTAAGTCAGGTATTGGTATTTCTCCTTGCTCTTTACTAAAGATTTTGTATATTTTTATTTTTCATGTAAACTTTAGAATCATTTTTATAATTTCTAAGCACTTTTTTCTATGATTTTGACTGAAATTGTGTTTCAGAATCAATTTGGAAAAACTTAGATTTTAACAATATTCCTTTTTCTAATATATAAAAATTGTATATTACCATATTTGCTAGGATCTTTTAACATTTCTCTCAGCAGTGTTTTATGATTTTTTGGTGATAAATTTTGGATATATGTGTTAAATTTATCCTTAAATATTTGATTATTTTGTTTTATTACAAATCTGTTTTGAATTTTAGTTTCTGAGTATGCATTGCTAGCATATAGAATACAATTGATTGAGTTGCCTATTGGTACACTATTTTGTTTATTTTTAAATCTGAGAGGTTACTATTATTCTTTTATACATTCAAAGATATTTCATATTTATCTTCAATTACTTTGCTCTCCTTTCTTTGTGTATCAGAAAATTTCCATTTAGGAAATTCTTATGCTTGAAGAATAGGTTTTAGTAAGAATCTTGTGATTAACTCAATATTTATTTGGCCAAAAACATTTATTTACCAAGAACTATTTAATCAGTTTGTGACTTTCTTAAAGTGGACATAACATTCAACAACTTTTTCTTTTTAGAAAAACTTTATAGTAATGTATATCATGCACTAAACTGTACAAAGTAGTCATGTGCAACTTGAAGGACAGTAATAAAATGAATGCATACAATTGTTATCTGAGAGAAGACATAAAATATCACCAGTGCCTTAGAAGTTATGTGGATATGTGACTGCATCAATTATCTTTTGCCAAATAACAAGTCATCTCAAAACTTAATGCCTTGAGGGCAAGAGCAATTGATGGAGCTCAAATTTCTGTGGTCTATGGGTGATTCTGTGCAGCAGGCTGAATTATCATTCCCCACAGAGAAGCCTGGCTGGGGCTGGAGGAGCAGGAGAGGCCTCAATGGCATGACTGCATGGGCCAGGGTCTGGGGGACCTCCTGTCAGCTGGGTCAAAAGTCTTCCTTAATGATCTCCGCCAGTCCATCCAGCTGACAGACCTAGTTTCAGGAAAAAAACACAGCCTGGCTCTCTGCACTGTTCCCAGCCTCTATGCCCACCATGTATGATATTACCCCCATATCCATTGTGATGCATGTCCAGACTGATATTTATAAGGCGTAAATGTATACTCTTTCTTCATGGGAGCAGAGGAACTTTGCCATGTTTGCAAGTTACAAGAGCTTCTCATTCATAAATGAGCATATATTTATATACATTTGATGCATTTTGAACTTCACATATATGAAATTATATATATGGCTGTATAAGTTTCTGAAACTTGCACAATATTTTTAAAATTCATGATTGCTGGGTTTTTCTGTATGTTGCTTTATTTTTGTACAGTGTTCAATTTATAGATATATTTTATTTATCCTTTTTATTATTGATGGATGCATAAGCTATTTGTGGTTTATTATATTTCTACTATATTTATGATCTTTTCTGACACACGAGTTTTAAAGAAAGCAGCTTGAATTTATCAACATTTCGTTGATTGTTTTCACCACATCTTATTTATGATACCCTCTGGTGTGCTAAAGTCATAGCAACATTCCCCTCTGCTGTCTACCAGCCTTGTAGAGATCATGATATAATTTTCTTTCTATGTGTTTAGTCAATTCCATGATTTATTTGAGGAATCCATTGCTATCCCAGTGATTGAAAGCCTTCTTCAACATGATTTCTATTTTTACTATAAATGTAGGCATCTATTTTACTAATTTTTAAGAAAAAAACATTTGGTCATGTCAATCTTCTGTAGTATAAATGAATTTTATAGCATTAATCTCTACTGACATTTCTTCTGCCCTCTTTGAACTTACCATCTCACTCTTTTTTAATGTGTTAATGTTTAACGTGTTTTTTTCTCACAATAGGCATTTAAGGCATGTGAATGATTGCTGTATTTGAGGATTCTACCTACATCTGCAGATTCAACCAACATCAGACAAAAATCTTTAAGAAAAATTGTATGTGTACTACTATGTACAGACTTTTTCCTTAGTATTCCCCAAATAACATAATATAGCAACTATTTATATAGCATTTACATTTCATGAGGTAACCTAGGGATGACTTAAAGTCATCATGGGGTGCTCTTAGGTGATTATTGAAAATGAAAATATACTGTGCATTCCAAAAAGGCTAGAAGAAAGGAGTTTGAGTGTTTTTGTGCTAAAGAAATAATAGACATTTGAGGTGACAGATATGTTCAATATGATTTAAACATTATACAATATATGTATGTATGAAAACCACATGGTACTCACTAGTTAACACAACTTGTAAGTTTGTATTATTAATCAAAAAGTTTAATTTTAAAAAGTTTTAAAAATAAAATACATAATTCAAGAAAATTAATTCATCATGGGAGCTAGACAGCATCTTAATTCAAATTTTATTTAGACAGAGAATACTTCAAGAAGCAATTGAGTCTGTCAGTTTAGATACAGAAATGAATAAATACATAGTACTTTTTTGTAATATCTTTGCAATTCCAAAGATGGAACTCCTCAGGCACTGCTGCTATTTCTTTCCTTAGTCCTGTGGTGTTTCCTTTTTGAGTGTGTGTGTGTGTGTGTGTGTGTGTGTGTGTGTGTGTGTTTACATGTGACAGAACGAAATATCACCATATCTGGCCTCTGTATGTGGGATCTCAGTGTGAGACGGGGTGCAGTGTCTCTCAGTCCAGGGCAGGCTCTGACAGGGCATGTAAAGTAAATTCAAAATTCAAAACCCTAAATGAGGTAAAAGAAGCTCACAGTCACAAGTGGATTCTCAGGTCAGGTTCCCTCTCTTGAGTCAGCCTGATAGATTAAAGCATGAAACGTCAACACTGGCATGAAAGAGGGGCACACCTTGCAAGGCTGAAGGAAAGGTAAAGTTGTCCCAGACACACACACTTCTCCTGTAGGTGGAAGCACAGAGCAACAGTCCTTCGGGTGGCACCTTTCTTGGTCTCCAGGGTGGCATCCAGAAGCCTTCCTGTCTGGATCCTCATCTGTAGGTTTGTTGCAGGCAGTAGACAGCAGTTCTGTGAGGTCACACATGTGGCAGTCTGTGGGTAAGTTAAGTACCTCACATCTGTGTGTCCAGAGGATGCAGGGGTCATGAGGAGGTTGATGTGAAAACCTGGCCCTGCTCCCCTGAAGCCATTACAGCTCACCTTCTAAGTGGAGGCCATGGGAAGTCACAGGAATGCAGGGCCACCAGTAGAGACAGTGATGACATCACCCTGCAGGAAGGGAGGAGCCTTCTAGTCCTGGAGAAGACAAATCACAGGCAGTGGAAGAGGAAGGAGAGAGGCAGTGTTCCTCCCAGTCATGTCACAGCCATGGCCAATCCATTGTGTGATGCATTCCTCTATTAATATGGAGAGCTGCTATGAAACTGAACTTTTGCAGGAATCAGGCCACCCAGTCAAAATAATTTCGTATCTCCCCACATTCAAATTCACAAATGTGGCCAATTTAAACTCTGAGGAGAACTCTTTGGAATTCATCTCATTCCCCAAATAGCACACAGTCAGAGGTCTGTCTCCTGCTGTAGCTCCTCTCCAAATGCAGTTAAAACAGGTCCTCACTAGAACACTGGGGAGATAAAACCTAACATTGGAGTATAAAAGAGCAACAATTCTCTAATAATCCCACATCTGTTCATTAAATTTTTAAAATGAAAACTTATAAAACATCTGCTATATGTTAAGCTCCATTCTGTATTCTGTAAGAGAAAAGTAAAATTCTGGTAGTTTTATTTTTGTTAGCAGACATTTCAAGAAATTGCCTGAGTTGTTGAGCAAGTGATGCACAATACCCCTGTTTAGGGAAACAGAGAGCAATGGACACCTGGGAACCAGACCCCAAGCAGCTTCAAGCAATGCCCAGCCAAGTGCTATTTCAAGTGATTTCCTTTTCTTGACTTTGCTGAAATAGTGTGTGCCATTTCAGGCCAGCTGAGGTAAGTTACTGGCTAACAAGAACATGCAAATATGGTTCCTGCTGGAGTTTTGTCCTTGCCTCAGTTGTGGAAATGCCTCAGAAGCAGGTACATGCCTGAAAAGCTTTGGGCACTAGACTTTGAAAAGAAAAAGGTGGAAGTTGCTAAGCATCTTTTAAATGACATCAACAGATGCAACTCAATTCCCAGGCCACAGGTTTTTAATAGTGACGTCCCAGATAGACCCTAGCTCCACTTCATTTCTATACAAGAAATAAGTTGAAATTAATTTACAGGTGGTCAGCTCAGCCAGTAACAAATAATTACTTTTCCAGACCCATAGAAGAGAAAAGCATCTACACTGCTACAGTACTTTTTGTTTTCTGTACCCCGTCAAACTGATTAAAGTTCTTTAGCAACTGAGAGGTGGCCTTGACTGCCTTTGCATATGTGGGTCTGCCTAGTGGTAGCTCTCCTTGCAAGCAGCATCTATTTCCAGGTCTTTAGTATGGGCTATTGTCTGGTACAGAGCTGGCTTAGCTCCCGAGAGTTGGGGTCATGTTGTCCATGAAAATCAGATAGTAATTTATCTTTAAACCTATTAGGTCTCTGTGCTTTGATAATAAAAAGCATCACTTTAGTTTTTCTAGTCTATGTTTGTAGTACACAATGATCACATTCATTGTGTAGAGTTAGCACACACACACACATAACATATTTACTTTTTTCTCCATTCCCTTACTCTTCCTTCCTTCCATCTCCCTTCATCGCTTGGTCTCTTTTCCATTTGCACAAGATCTACCTTTCTCTTTCCTATTATCTTTTATTTTGCTCTTTCATGTATTTATACTGTGGTTTTCTCCTATAAGAGAATCATGAAATAGCTAAGCTTGTGTGTCTGATTTACTTTACTTGACATCCCAGCCTCAAATGCTTGTGCCCTTCTTGATGTCCTAGGAAACCTGGAGCTGGCTGGATGATGGGGACATTAGCACTACAGTGTGCTGTAGGGCAGGGACAGTTTGTGCAGTCACTTGCTTGCCTGGGAACCAGCTATGCTCCCTTGGGGTGCTATCCAGTACAACCTTCCACTCAGGATAACTGCTGTCATCATCCCTTTGTGCTCATTACATCCCTGTGAAAGGTAGTAAATACGGAGCTTCCAGATATGGAATTGCTTCCCACAGAGCATTGTTTCTGTCTCTCCAGGAAGATGAGATTCAGATCCTTTAGCACTTTGCTGTCACATTGATCACTGCAAAAGGGTAGACACTCAGCAGCATTGCCCCATTTTGGGATCCAGGGGTCCTGGTCCTTGGCAAGAATATTTTGTCCTGACAGTAATAAAACACAGTATTCAATATTCTGTTTTGTCAAAATGAAATACATGACAAATACCTTTTGTTATCTGACAGTTTCCTGAAACTTTTCATTCTGGGTTCATCAGTAATATTTTTATTGATGCTAGATTAAATTAGAGATGAGCCAGTGGTGTCAGACAATGTCTTTGCCTATGGAAAATGGGACACTTTCCTAATACCACTGTCCATATCACGAACAGCACTAAAGATTATACCTTTGAAGAAAAGACTGCAGCTACTGGCCACCTGCTGTAACTTGGGTCTGGGATGTGGCCCCTGGCCCATGATTGCAAGACTGTCTTAAGCCTGGTATTGCTGAGATGTGGTGGAGCCTTTAAGATGGAGGACCCAAAAGGTACCTGTGTATGTTTGGGGTTGTGGTGGTTGGAGGTGGTGGGACCCATCTCTCTTCATCTCCCTGCCATCTCACACTCAGACAAGAAGTGAATAGATTCTCTCTCACATACTGCATGTGATGCATTCTATCCATACCCTGAGCCACAGAGCTGATCAGCCCTAGATTGAACCCACTGGAACTGTGAGTTAAAATGAGAGAAAGACAATTAAACAGAAAGATGACTGACATCTCTGTGGGCAGAAATGATATTAAAGAGAAAGAAAAATGGAACCGCGGAGACCCTTTTCACTTTATTGTTTGTATTGGACATGAGTCAGAGGTACCAACTGCCCTCAGTGAGTGGGCACTGCTGAAGTGCAGGTGAGGTGTTCGTGACCACAGTGTGAGTGTGACTGTGGATTGGACATCAGTGTGGGTGTGACCACCAGCTGAATGTGGGTGTAGGTGTGTGTATGAGTAGTGCATAATAGGAGGAAGGATGAGAGTCATGATGAAAATGAATTAGAGTGTAGTCCCAGAACTTTAAAAAAATATCTACCAGGCTATTTTTGTTATTGTTTCCTTATTTTGTCTTCAACCCCAACAGGGAGAATTTCCAGGGCTTCCCACCCGCCCTGCTGAGGCAGGAATGACCTTGCTAAGAGCTAACGGGCTAACCAATAGCTGGAGCATCCTCAAAACAGGGCGGGGACCAAATCCTGAGGTGCTGGCTGGGAACCATGTTGGTGTGTCTGCTCCTGAAGTGTGACAGATTACAACATCCAGTGTTTAATACTACAATAACATCGGACCACTTATTAATACTAATTTGGAGATTTTTACTGGAGTCACACAGAGAGCATATACAGGCAATTTGAGGCATAAGTTTCAGGCTGTGGACACAGACTTAAGAGATGCTGGTATATAAACACCATCTATAGACAGGAGACTGAGAGAAAGCATCTTAAAATAAGAACGATGTAAGGAAGAGAGGAAGTGTGGAACATTTGGTGCTGGGAGTGTAGATGTAAGGAGCAGCCTGTGAAGGAGGTGAGGAGGTCCCTCTGGAGGAGGAATAAGGGAGAAGGGGTGGCAGGAGTGGTGGACATTCCAGTGGGAACAGGCACAGCAGGGGGACTAGGCTGCTTTGACCAGAGAGGTGGGACCCGAAGCCAGGCCATGGGCTTTGACTGGTAAGTGTGAGGTGTTTAGGGTGTAGAGGGGGACAAGGCCCACCAGAACTTCACTCAAGAAACAACAGAGAGAAGCAATGTAGTCACATCTTTTGAAGGGTGACCTAAGCTGACTTCTAGTCAATGTTAATGAGAAGGGTAGTAGAAATTCTATTCTGGTAGAAAGGCAGGAGGTTGGAGAAACAGGAGTTGAGCAGGTGCACTAGTTCGAGGATATGCCCTCAGCCATGGGAATCAGATCCCTCAGAAGAGTTGACCAGGATCACTGCATCTGAAGACCAAACGCAAGGCAGAGCAGAGAAAATACCCTCAGGAGGAATTGAAGGTCTCAGATATTTAAGGCACAAAGCTCAAAAGGTGCTAGGAATTCAGCCAAGGAGCTAACAAACAGCAGAGAGAAAAGAAACGCCCAAGATGAGAACAGGTAGGACTTTTCCTAAAAAGCATTCTAATGGAGCTGAGTTTAATATTCAGGGCTAAATGTGTGGTTGTAGTTTCTTTGAAAATAAAACAAAATGACTCCTAAATACATACATCACACATGCACACACACATGTGCACACACACACACAGACAAACAAACAAAACTCATAGTTTTCAGTGTTATGGTCTTTAAAGGGAAAGCCCTTGGCTTGCTGTAGAAAGCACATATCTGTCAGCTGAGGTGAGAGGGCAGAGAGCAAGGTTCTGCCAACAGAATATTTCAAGAGCATGTCATAAACATGTACTCTATCCATCCATGCTTTGAACCTGAAGCAGCTCCTGGGTGGATTAATATCCCAACCTCTTACCAGGTGAGGTCTTAGCAAAGGTTAATTTTATTTTTGATGAGAACTCCTTCCCAGCTCTCCCTGAATCCCTGGGAGGAAATTAATCTGGAAAAAAAGGCAAGGGCAGAGCAGCACCACCTTCCTCTTTTGCTGGCTGCTGGTCATGACCCTGTGTCTTCCTTGGCCTCATGGTCTGGAGGCCCAATGGAGGACAGAGGAGCAGAGGTGAATGAGAAAACCAGGGATTGCTGGGAGAAACTCTGGAGGAAAAAATACTGCTTCCTACATCACACAATTTTCAGCTCTGGGATGGATTTTCCATGCATTGAAATTAATCTGCCAAGATGAAATTTAAGTTTGCCTATGGTTGAATTAGATAACTAAGGCATCTTCACAAATAAGGAAGGGAAGAATAATGGTGTCATCATTTTTGTATGTTGTTTGTCTTTCAGATCATGGTAGGATTTACTGAGCTTCAGAAAGAAACTATGAGCCAGAGGCAGGGTCTTTCAGAGAAGATCAAATGTTCCATAACTCAAAATAAACAGAAATATCTAGCTGTTAAGAAAAGAATCTTGCATTATTTATTTTATGCACAGGGCTTTTCAATCATAGATCTGTTTTTCCCTGGTCTTGCACATTTTCTGTCATCATTACTATCTGTCTTGATGTCACCTTCCTCACCCCTTGTTTTGACTTCAGTGTATCTTTGTGGTTTTCCTTATTGTATCTATGTTTCACTCAATATTCCGCATTGTATTTCCACCTTAAATCTTTGGTTCTCATTACAATAAGAACAAGACACTTCCCTGCTCACAACACAAGCTTCTGACACCTCTAATGCTGTCTGTGCTCATTCTAATCTTGATGAAGGATTTGAGTACCTTTGTTTATCTGAGTATCTACCAAATGCTCACAGTATTTAGACTCTTCTATTTTCTTGTGATGAAAACAAGTGTCCCAGGTGTGATAGTTAACTGACTGTCAACTTGAGTAAGAAATACCCAACTAAGTTTAATCAGCATAGTTCTGGGTATGGCTGAGGGAATTTACTGAAGAAAGAAAATGCACCCTGGCTATGAATGGCACCAACCAATAGGCTTCTGACTGAATGGTGTAAAGGGAAAGAAGGTTGTCTCATTTCTGCTTCTTTGGAGAAGCTCCAGTCTTCTTTTCACCTCAGACATCATCTCCTGGCTTCCAGCAGAGCCCCTACAGTCTCCCAGTACAGATTTGCACAGGACAGTACAGTGTGCTCCAGACCTCTGACCTTTGACTGGATCCTTTAGCTCCAGCCAACAGGCATGCAGACAGCCTTTTGTACTCTTCCAAACCTGATTCTGTGGGCTGCAGTTATAAGCCTGTCTTGTACATTCTTATGTATTTGTATATCTTGCATTAAATATGTTTCTCTAGCAAGCACTGGGTAACTCAGCATGTATTTACCAACCATAGGTTTACTTATTTTGTTGGTCCTTCTTCACACAAGAAAGATTAAATTTACACCAAAGGTGAGAGGAACAAATTCTTAAAGAACAGGAATCCTAAAGCTAAGACAGAATGTGCCTATGTTGGAAGCAGAGAGTCAAATATTTCTATATTGTAATTCAGGTTTTGTTTTCAGCTGGTGTTTGAAAGGTCAAATGTCACTTACTCAGAGTCCTCCATTCCTGCATGTATAGCCTCCAGATGGGTAACCCACTTTCCACTCATTTTATGACCATTCTTTCTCTGTGTCCACCATGATCACCAGTTTTCTCCTGATTCCTTTATCTTAATAGAAGGACTTTCCATTTTCTGTTCCTGTTAAGTTTCTCTTTGGCCCAGCAATGTATCTCATGGGTTCCACCCACACACTCTCCCTGCACAGCCTTTCTTCCCCTGCCCCAAACACATGCACACACTCTTGCTCCAGCTACAGGTCTGTATCCTTGTGTTCTATCTGAGATCATCACACCGCTTGTGTTGCTATAGTGTGTCTCTCATCTGGGTGCTCACTCTGGTTCCCCTGTCTCATAGGCAGAGAATTGAGTCAGTCTCCAGCATCACAGACACTAGGAAGATCGCTTGCCCAAATCAGTGTTTGCTCTCAGCTCTTGAAAGCAGGAAATCTGGATGAGGCTGCCTGGCCAGAGATAGCACTAGGGAAGTGATGGGGATACAAAGCTAGAAGATGGACTATCTGTGAATTGCAGCTTAATTTGCATTGCCCTGGGCTCCTCCAGTCACCAGATGGAGTATTCTCACTGTGAAGCTTCTGGTCTTTCCAAGGATTACTTTGAAAAATGGTTAATAGAGTGGAATAAAGGAAAACCTTGAAAGAAACAATTCTCATCAAGAATTGAAATCTAACCTATTTAAAAAGAAGTGGAAGAAGAGGGGGAGGATGGGAAAGAGCAGAAGCAAAATGTGGAGGAAGGAAAGGAAAGAAAGAGAGTTACGGAGAGGAAGTCAACAACAGGAAAGGAAACTCAAAAGTTCTAAACTACTGTGTAGAAACTGAAAATCAAGCATTAGGTGTGAAGAATAATTGAGATTCTTAGTGATAATATAATTTCAGGTAGAAACAGGTGAAGGAAACAAAAGATGATTATTAAAAGAAGAATATTGAAATCAAATCTAGGTGTTCTAACACCCATCTAATGAGAGTTCTACAATGGGGGTGATGAGAGACATACAAAAAGTGGAGTTAGTGGGGAAATGTTTTAGAAAGGACATAGCCCAGCATAAAGGTAGTAATTTTACCTTAAGAATGGAAGGGACAACAGGGTGTGGGCATACTGATGAATTTTTCACTTCTACAGTCTAATGTGTGGTGGATAATAGGATTACAAAATCTCTTGGTTGCTAAAAAATTATTTCTAAGTACTTGGAAGCCTAATGTAAAAATAATTATCATCTGGAACTAAAATTCCATTTTATTTTAAGAAAGCACAGGTGGTAGTGAAGTTGGGAGGAAAGGTAAAAGCATGCCAAAAATAGTGTCCTGCAGCAGGAGACACAAAGGAGGAGACAAACATATTTCTAAAATGTTTTAAGGTAATAGGCAAAAGGAAAACAACAGAAAGTGCTGGCAGATGGTATGAACTCACTTCAAAGAAGCAACCTG